AAAGAAAAAAAAAAAAAAGAAAAAAAAAAGAAAAGGGGAAAAAAAGAAAAGGGGAAAAAAAGAAAAGGGGGAAAAAAGAAAAGGGGAAAAAAAGAAAAGGGGGAAAAAAGAAAAGGGGGAAAAAAGAAAAGGGGGAAAAAAGAAAAGGGGGAAAAAAGAAAAGGGGGAAAAAAGAAAAGGGGGAAAAAGGAAAAAAAGAAGCAACCTCAGAATGAATCAAAGTTCAGGGAAGTTAAGGTATAGATTCACTGCTCACTCACGAGGCTTTTAATCATATGTTTAAAAAGCAGACATCTGTTAATTTCATTCTATATTTTGTGAGATCTACAGAATTTAGAAGTATATAAACCCACTCTAACTTCCTTTCTTAGAAGTAACAAGTGGTATTTCAACCCTGTGGTCACAAACAAAAGCTAGAACTTACTTTCTTTTTGTCTAACCAATATTTTAAAAAAAAACATCAGTTGCAACGATCTAGACCAAATGGTATCTCACTGCAGCAACCAGCTATTGCAACACAGAATTCAGCAGGGCTGTGTAAGCCACTCCAGAAACTGCGTTCTTCTATGCAGAGTTACCCTGCCCTGAGTTAAAGCTCTGCTGCCACACAAGGCTAGGCATCCGAGCTAGTGAGTCTGTAGGTAGAAGAATATGATGTGTAAAAGTCACTGCTATGACATATCCTCAGGCTTGGTTTGCTGACACACTGAAATAATGGCTAAAGGGAATAAGAATACAAAAGGAGGCTTAGGCTGTCATTTTTTCATCTTTAGAAAACTCTATCAAAGCCAATGCATTACATAGATATACGTCATAAAGGTAGCAAATACATGTTAGGTAAACAAATCTCTTGGCTTCACCTTAAAAAAAAAAAAGCAACAGCCTCCACCCTAGAAAGAAGAAGAGAGACAAACCAAAGTTGCTAATAACAAGAACAGCTCCAAGACCAAGAAAACACAGTAAATGCCTCCTGCAATTAGCCACATTTTATGAAAAGTAAAATAATATTCAGGTGTAGGTCCTTTACTCTGAAGGTGTATTTCAGTTAAACTGAACTATCAGCTCTGAATTATCTGAGGCTGTTGGGCACAGTGGTCTACTGGAAGCTCCACTCAAAAAAACCTCACATACGTTCTTTGGAAGGCAAGACACCCTAGTACACAAAGCCTAAAACTCAGTTCCGAGTTTGTGTGCTGTAGAGCTAAACTCTTACTACTAAATTTCATCCTTAATACAGGCAACCCAGGAGTTATGTGGAGAATCTGCACTGACTGCACTTCGCTATGCATCAGCTAGAAAATGTGGGAGAGCCCTGCTGAAGGCAGACCCAAGAGGCTTCTCTAAAGTTAGCGTTCTCCTACACAGACAGTTGTCCACCTCCTGTGGGGAGCCAAGTGGAGCCAGGCACACCGTCTTACCACCTGTGGATTCTTGTCTGTCTAGAGAAGTATTTGTCTCGTTATTAAAGGGCAGTTTTCCAGTTCCAGCTTGATCAGTGCAAAACCTACCTTTGGTTGCATTCTGGTTAAGTCCAATGTGTAAGATGCACACATACCTTTCCCTTATTTAATAGGAGCCTTATCTTGGGATTTATTAAACAGATGAGCTCACTGGAGGAGAAAACCTATTAAACCAGGAAAAAAAAGGGAGGAAGGGGACAGGGAGAAGCGGGGAAAAAAACCAGTAACCTTTGACTGTCATGCCAGCAAATAATGCTGGCCAGCTTTCTGTTGTACCTTTCTAAATGCAGTAGTACATGTTCACTGATTGACCTTGCCACTACATTCACAATTGTTTTAATTTTGGCACTTTCCATCAGTTACTTTGGCTCTTTTATATAAGCAAACAGATTGTACTAGGATCTCCACACTAGTGTCTGAGGGATGCAATAGACAACTTCACTAACAGCTCTTTTGGGAGGTGAATCTTATTTCTTGCTTTCCTTGTGAGCAGTACGCACTGTTTAGGATGGACTAACAGAGAGACATCCTGAAAATATAGGCCCTAGAAGTGTCTGTTTCATATTGTAACTTTCACTGCTGATAGTGTCATTAGGGAGGAAGCACTTCAGGGAAGTTACAGGTCCAAACGTTACTTGGGTTAGCAAGACATAGAGAAGACAAGATTTGGGGTCTTACAGGACCTCTATCTACAATGCAGTTTACTTTCCATAGAGAGTGCTTGCTTCATAAAAATACTACTTTAAGCAAGATTAACTGTATGCAGCAAGAATTTTTAAAGCAGTAACTAGCAGTAGGAATGATCTCTGCCAGAGAAGAGCAAGCTTGTTCCTGCTCTCTTGAATTTGGGTATTGCCAGAGGGGAAGTGATGCACATTTTGTGCTTTTGAACAACATTAATGCATTTGTAGATTAGCTTATTTAATAGTAGATAATTAGAAAATAATTAAGATACACCCAGAAACATTAAACTGTTGTTTTTAAATCAAAAGCTGAACTCGGCAAGTACAATCCTGTTAATTACAACTTCGCAGTAATCAAACTGATGGTCTAGGCAGTTACTCGATCCACACCTGTCCTTCGCACCTCTCAGTCACCACGTGTTTTATTATTAAGGTCTCTGTCAGCTAGTGAAGTGTTTTATCAAATGTGGCATGGAGTAAATATCTTGTCCGGGGTTATACAAGAAAACTGTCAAGTTAGGAGTAGAGTCTCCACCACTTGAATCCTGCTTGAGTGAATTAGCTAATAGATCCTCCCATCCATATGCTTAACAGATAAAAGTGTGAAATTCATTAGAATTTACCTAACAACCCATCTGCTTCTAGCCTTGCGATGGACAGGGGTACATCCATCAAATACTTTTGTTCAGCAGATTTTGTATTTGACAGTTTATTACCACAACAGTAGCAAACTTTCAGTAGCCAGCACACTGGACACTATAGAGAAAAGCTAAAACGACTTTTTGAGGTACTAGCGCTAACCAAAACATAGCAGAAGGATTAAAGCATTGATCTAAACCCTGAAGTTACAAAATAAGGACTACCTCTTCCAGTTGCATATAAAAACAATGCAAAATGGACCTGAAGTGGTTAAAAACACCAGCAACAATTACTGCTTTGTGAAGAAATCTCACCTATCAAACTGAAGCATTATCTCTCCAATAACCTCCTCTTAATTTCAGGAAAGGGAAGCAAATGAAGCAGCATTAACAGTGTTGCTTCCATGCTCTGAAGAGAATGCAGCTCCCTTGGGTCTGAGTATGTCAGGAAATGAAATCAGCTATGTGATTCCCCTACCTGTCTCCTAATTACATGCCAGTGTATCTCAGAGGCAGCTAAGAATATAACTCAAAATAACAATCTCTTTACTTAATATTTCACAGACATTTTTTACCAGACACTGATGGCAGCATGAACCCTCAGTTCAGTTTCTGTGGGAGGTCTTTTTTCTTTTGGCATGTATTTGAACACCTACTTTCAACATGAAGTGAATTTTTTAGCCAAAATCTATACAGCTGTTCCTACTACAGTCTAGTATGACTGACTTACATGAAAGCAGGAAAATGCACTTGACTGTCTTTAAGTGAATTAATAAAAATGAACTAAACCTCCACGTGGATATTTTCATTCATAATCCAAGTGAGCTTCATTTGATTAACTGTTTCACTCCTTTAAAGCAATCTACATACAATGAAATCTCTTTGATTCTGAATATGTGAATAGATGAGTTTAGCATAATCCACTTAACCCACTTACATTCAAGTTAACTGGACGTGTTCCCATGCAGAAAACTTTTAATATTCTTAAAGTAACATAATTCAATTGAGCGGTATGCACACACCACTTCACACATATCATCTACACCTCACACAAGAAAAGCAAAATTGCTGGAACTCCTACTACAAACAATGTCATGCCTTTAATCCTTTTCACACTTACCTTTCTCACATTATAAAAGTCTCGATGAGGATTACTCTTTAGTTCTTTAAATTCCGACATTTCATTTAACATCTCATGTAAACTAAATTTAGATTCTAAAAAGTTAAGCCTCCGATGACAATATGTTTTTCTGTAAAAGAAAACACAAAAATTAACTGTAACTTAAAACTATCTGTATTTCAAGTTCAGTGAGAACTTGAAAGTTTTCACAGTAAAAACATTTTTTTTTTTTTTAATGAAGAGGAAAACAAATTCATTCTTCTTATCCTACTGGTTAAAAAATATATAAGTCAATATCCAATATGATTTCAGACCAACGTTATTAGTGAAACCTCAAACAGAGCTCTACATAACCGTGTTATGTCCTTCAAGTTTTTCATGTACTGTTATCACTGTATCTGTGCATAAACTGCAGTTCTTTTAGTATCTTTACTTTACTTAGCATCGTTAGTAATGATGGCCAGAGAAAGCATAAAACCTATAATAAAATGTGATGTCAATTGCTACTACTCTGAAACTATATCTCCAATAGAGCAGATCACCTCATATATAACAGAAACAACCTGTAAGCCAGATTTGCTCACTATGGAAATAATTTTTTTAAAAAATTTGCCATTTAAGTTTATTTGCTTTTTCAATGTGAATGTAAGAAGCCAAGATACAACCCAATCCACTTTCATTTTTTATCCCTTAAAAAACACATATATTGTGTAGAAATACTTTTTTTTCCCAAAGTAATTTATTGTGTTCTTCTTAGAAAAATCATGCTTTTTTGTTCCTGCCTGCCTGTTCCTCTGTCTTCACTTTCATCTTCTGTTATGTTTCTCATACTATTTTTAACCAAGGACATGGTTTTTCTCTTCACCATCTGTCAATTCTTATTGAATCTACAATATTTTTGTAGCACTATTGATGTAATAGCCTTCTTTTTTCTGCTTTATTGTTGACAATCCCTCCTCAATGGGACACAAATCCCATTATACATTTGAAAGTCTGATTCAAACACAGTCTCACCATATCTGATACTGATCAAGACCCGTTTGCTCGCTGCAGGAAGTCTTTGTCGGATTATATTATTATTCAAGAGACTGGAAGACCGAGGAGTAGGGGTGAGATTTCACCACTTTAAGAACAGCACAGATTAAAGAACAATGGGTTCTTGATCTCCAAGCAGCCCCATGTGTGATAGACATAAATGACAGGAAAGCACTTGCTGCAAACAGGGAAACAATACTGTATGAAGAGCTTATGCAACAGGATTACTGAAAAGACTTTTTCCTTTTAGTTTGTGTGTATTTATCAGCAAGTGCAAATCAGCCTGCAAAAGCTTAATCTGAAAGAGTGAAAGGAGCAGATGATTGCTCCTACATTCACAAAGGTGCCGAGCGTTCTAACACATCCAAGCGCCGTTCTTATTTATGGCTTCCTGATAAAGACTGTTAACAAAAGCTGCAAAAAGAAGGGTCTTCGGCATGACTTTTGTTTCAAGTTCTTTCTTGTCCTTCAATCTTCTCAGTATCTGCATCTTGGAATATAACATGCTGAAACCGGAAATGCATTTACCTATTGCATACTGTAAACAAGCAGACTCAAGCTAGCTTTGATTTGGAGCAGGAGTGCTGATAATGCTGGTGGAAGCATAGGCTTTTGCCCTTGAAAAAGTGCTTAGAGAATGGGACAGCTCTGTTCAGCCTATCTGGTTTGCCACTATGAATGTGCAAGGCAGACAGATTACGCTGCAGGTGTCAGACAGACCCAAAAGGGAAAGAATGCATCAGGTGTGACTAACGTGTCACATTGTAAGCTATGATCTCTCAAAGGCATGACTAGGAATGCAGTGCTGGCAGGCAGGCCAAATAGTTCTTAAGAACAGTCCAGGTTCCTGCTTTGTTCCATCCTAGGGTGAATTCTTTTCCTTTCCAGGTGTTGAGGCCATGAGAAACCTTGATGTTTCCAGTCCTCAGCTGGGAAGTAAACTAAAAAACTGGTTGCATATGTTTTGTTATGCGCTGGACTTGCTTTGTCACAAGTGTGTCAGTGACCATACATACCAGAGTTGTTGTAGTTCTGATTTTTACAGATTTGCCAGTTTGATGGTTCTAGGAAATTTCAGGCCCATTTTGATTGTGCATGTGCAGATCAGTTTTGCAGCACATGAGCAGTTAATTTACATCTGGAACAAATCAGACTGAATATTTATGTTGGTGAGCTGTTCTGTATGCTCTACATAGGCAGGGTTTCTCTTCATGCAGCAATAGTACAACAGACATGAAGGAATTCCAGACAACTGTTCAAAAACCTCAAATTCAGCATAGGCCAAAACAAAATTAAAAAGGTGAGGTTCAAGTTTCAGTTCCCATGCCTCAAGAAGTTTGGGTCAGATTTGACTTGAATGGGAATATTGGGCCAATTTCTTGCTTTTCTGTTAACTGCTTCTCATTTTGCCATGGTAGATGCAAAGAAACTAAGGAAATGAAATATAGCTGTATGTGTTTGGTTTGTTTTTTTTTCCTTTTAAGTCCTTCCATGATGCATTAATGCTTGAGAAGGGCAAAACAAAACATTACAGTAGAATGAGCACATTGAGGAATTAAATATCACAGACATGGGAAGTATTAAACTAAAGGTAACCAGCAGCCTGAAGGGGCAGAGAAGAAAGAGTAACATACGTTGGACCATCTGCAATTAGAGCAAGAACATGGCTCAGGTCAAGAGTATAGGTCTCCAGGTCAGGATACGGCAGACTCCGAGGCTCATTGAGTTCCATCATTTCTTTGTTATCATAAACAAAGGGAATGCCACCTTTCATCTTGATGACATAATCCAAATTGTCTGGAGCATCATCAAGATTGTAAGGATCTTCATTTTCTTCTGGGGGTGAATGGAAATCTGGAAATAAATTTACATTACGTTTAGAAGAAATAACACAAAAGGCAAAATAATTACAAAAAGGACTTTCTGCTTCTATAATGCTTCATTTCTAATGGATTTTAGTACTTTCATTAAAAATCTCATTTTCAGTTACCATAAAAGATCTGTTTTTACAACACAGCTTTATTCTGACAGGCTTTAATTACAGTCCCTCTCTAAGCTAAGTACCTACCTCAATTCAAGTATTATACATTATTAGAGCTATTCACTGAACCAATGTATAAATAGATTTAGTAGTATTCTTTATTAATGTATGATGGCAGAAGTTTCAAAATAAGTTTCCAGAAGTATGTTAGGATGGTTGAAAGTACAGCTGAGATTTTTGAACAATAAAACAGTTGTTGACTTCATGCCCACCTTCATTATTTTCCTTTCACCTTCTGACTCCCTGCAGTAATTTTGGAAGTTTGTATTTAAGCACACAGTAATGGAGCTGTTCTCATATTGAAACACCAGTGAGAAAAGAACTGGCTGTGCCTTACTTCTTCACCTCTGCCCTTCCCACAATCCAATGAGCTAGACTAGTGCATGCATACTAGGACTGTTTCCTCTTTCTCTCAACCATTAGTGAATATACTTCAGTCATGGTAGAGCAGGAAATATAAGACTCAGTGCTTCTCACTCTGACCAAGGCAGTGGTTGGTTTGTAGTTTATTGGAGGGGGTTGGTTGGTTTTGTTGTGTTTTGATCGGGGTTTTTTCTTTTGTGCTTTTTTGTTGTTTGTGTTTTGGTTTGTGGGTTTTGTGGTTTTGTTTGGTTTGTTGTTGGGGGGGGTTTGGTTTGGTTTTTTTTTTTCTTTCTTTCTTTGGGTTTTTTCTTTGTTTGTTTTTTCTTTTAAATAAAACTCCTTATTTTTGTTTAATTGCTTTTGAATAGAACCAAGAAGTGCAGAAGCCAGCCATAGTACAGCACAACTCTAGTTTTCCCCTTGGCCTTCTGATCATGACCAAAATCTGACAGCACCAGAATCACAGTTGGGATTTGTTCAGTACAGTTTTGTAATCCCTTTACAAAATTACAGGGGGTTTTGGTTTGTTTTTTGGTTTTGGTTTTTTTTTTTTTTCTAAGAATCAGGTAAACACACATACTTCTGGGACATTCAGCTTACGTGAACACTCAAACATTATCACTCATGCTAATCAATGTTCATCACTTCTTTTACAGTATCTTACTAATGCAACTAGCATAAAATAAGTGTCTCAACTACATTTATGTCAACTGAACCACATTTTTGGGCTCAGACTTATTACCGAGATTTCTTCTTTTACCTGTTCAGTTAAGCCAAGACAGAAAAGTAATTAGCCAGTCCTAGAGAACCTGAACATGTTATAAACTGATACCATTCTTATCTCTAATATTCATAACTATCCAGCTCAAACTTGTGCTAATTAAGACATCATGTAATGAGATTTTATTCTTTATGTCATAAGTTTAAAATCATAACTGTAAAAAAGTTATTAATGTAATAATAGCTTGAAAATACCTCCCCAGCAGCTGTTCCAAAACACCTTTCCCATCTTGAATATTCCGTATACTGTCCTCTTTACACTCTTTCTATATAACAAACGCTTGAAAACATGTTAATTCACCCTCTTTCAACCACTGAGCTAGAGGGTAATTGATTTAAAATGTCACTTTATGGCTGAGAATACATTGCCAACAATATGGACACATCTACAGTGGCACATCTGTACAGACCAAAGGTTGATCCTCACAGGCTAATCCAAAAACTAGCAGTGCAAACAGTTTAATGCACAAGCAAAGCTTTCAAGACACAATCCACCTAAGTGACAAATATAATTTGTGACATACATAGCAGGGAATATATTCAACCTAATAAGCCTTGTTGAGAGAGCAGTTTATTAACCCAGGCAGAATGTCCAACAAATATGACTACACAGCTTCCAGTCTGATAAGTGTACCATGCCTGTGAAATTACTGAATCAGGGCTTGCTAACAGGCATGTCTGTATTGTGCTTCAATTTACAATGTAGATGAGCTCATAACCCTTTTATTTCACCATGCCAAGATCAGGAGGAATGACTTTAAACCATATCCATATATCTTTTTCCTGGAGGAACACAAGTGTACTACTTACCATCCCATTTGCTGCAAAAAAAAAAAAATAATCAATGAGCATCTAGTATGTTTTTTCAGGTTTGACAGCTTCTAAGTTTGCAGATTAGACACAGAATTTATGACTTCAGTCCCTCAGTGATTCTCCACCACTTACTAACAGAATAAATTACAGAGGCAAAGACATTCAGAAGAGATCATCACAAAAATCCAACTTACCTTTACTACTGCAGTGCATGGGTTTAATTCTATATTTTAAAAAGAAGAACAAGGATATTCACCTGGATACACTTCATCTTCAACCTTCCATTTTTCATCTTGCATGCTACACAGATACTGAGACGTTGTTCTTGGGAAGCGATGGTAGGCAAGACGTGAATACTTTTCTCGAATGAGAAGAGCTTTCACCAGGCTCTTGGCAGCTTGTTCATAATCATCAACTGTAACCTGAAAGGAAAGCCTGGATAAATACTGACAAAAATAAAACAGCAGTTTTAGCAACAAACTGAACCCATGCCAGTAACAAGGAGACTGAATTTCCAGAAATGTAAGTGTATGTGGCTTAACCATAAGGATCTTACCCAAGGTCTCAGGAAGCCAGTGACAGAAACAGAGTCCAAATATGATGTGCAGAACACACACGCATTTTTTCTCTAATCATATATTGTCCATTTTTTTAATGCCTGATTATGTTTTTATCTATTTATTTTTTATGATAAAAAGTATAAAACTACCTGAACTTGACTTTAACTATTTCATAAATTAATGTGTTCACAAAGCAATTCAGTTTGTTGCAGAGAGCTGTAATATAGTGACATTTCACACTTCATATACCTTAGCTGCTTGTGGTTTGGAATGTTCCCCCCCCAAGATACAGAAAGGGGAAAAAAATGGTTTCTTACCCCTGCACAGTAGTCTCCACTAATTGAAACTCTCTGAAACTCTGGTACATCATATGGCACTTGGACTGGCAGAAAAGCACTTGGAAGAACTGGCGTTGCAGGAGACGGAACAGGATTGGCTGATGGTGCTTTCCATTCCTGAGACGGAATTTGTAATGACAAAGACTGGGATCGAATCATCTTGAAACTTTTCTTCCTACGAATTCATGGTATAAAGTATAAAATAAACCATGGTATAAAACATTAAATACACTGGAAAACTGATTACAGCAAAGAAATCACCCCCTAAGAAATTTTAAAAATTAAATTAAATCTCTCATACCACAGGAAAAATGTTAGTCACAAAATACTTGTGCTTTTAGCTTTTTTCTATTGACATTTCACATGATATATGCTGCACACAATTGCGCTTACCCTCCACACAAATACAATATGCTGTAATTTATTTACAATCACTGTAAGATGCCCTAAAGTTTGTTTTGTTTCACTTGTTACAAATTCAGTTTCAGCAAGTCACTATACAGAAGGAAAATGCAATCACTGTGCTTACTTTAGTGGGAGTTGATTCTTAGAAACTGGTAGCATCAGAATTCACAAAGTATCAGACAGAAACAAGTAAATGTTACGTACAGTAAGTTGTTGTAAGTTATCATGCTATTACACATTCTTTTCATTCTTCCCAAAACATGCAGGATTTAAAAACTCATCTAGTTGTCAGACAAGACTATGCATCAAAACTTCATATATAGTCATTCAGTTAAACTTGTAAGAAAAAGGATAAGCACGTAGTTATTCCTTAGGCACTGTTTGATGAGACTTGAGCAAAAGGCTAATGTTGGTTATCAGAGTAATAACATAGCATGGCTTTGCTATACAAGTCCATTCCTCCCCTCGGGACAGTAAATGGCTAACCCCCATAGACTTAAAACCTTTTGCCCTTTCTCTGCAAAACTGTGATAGACGTGTACCTTAGACAAACCAGCTAAAAAAGAATGCTGTATTTTTCAGTGAATTAATTGTAATACCTCAAGTGAAGTTTTGGAATATCTCTAAAGATTTAATTTTCCTTACTCAGTTTAAATGTATTTAAATGTATATTAAATATTCACATATGTTATAAACCACCTGTGATACCACTTTCTTTTACACTGTGGAAATACTACCTCGTTTTATAAACTAGATGCTAAAACCTTAAAATGTTAGTAAGAACCACTAACAAAGAAAAAGGAATACTAGAATACTCTCTGGAAGTTGCATTACTTCTGTGACATTCTGAAGAATAAGAACATATAGTGCTGGTACAATTAATACCCTGCGACCAAATTCCATCCTCTCTTAAGGACTTGTAGCCACCTTTAAAATCAGTATGAAATTCTTGAAAATCAGTGTTGGATCAACTGCAACTGAAAACAGAAGTTTTACTCATCTAACTGTCCTTGAAGTACACTTCAGTTCTGTAGGACAGGGATGAATACTTGTTCTGTTCCCACAGGTAAACAACATACATACAATATGCCACTTACCACAATTAAGCTTGTGCAAAACTTGAGGTACAGTTTGATAGAACATATTTCTATAAGACAATTTCCCAAATTAAAAGTGAAACTTAACAGTTCAGGAGGAAATATAAACCAAATAGTTGTTTGAATGAAAACATCTAGTTTTCCCTTCTGTGCTTGTTTACATCTATGAACATGCCAACTGGGAAACCCACTTGCACAATTGAAAACCTAAAGTCTCAGCCTGTATCATCAGCGTGTCATACCTTAATTTAACTAAATTGACTCTTCTCCCTTCTGTTCCAGAAGTATGATGCCAAGCGTTGCCCAATTGATTGTCTGCAGCTAACTGGGTACATGTGTTTAGCTATCACTTTCAAAGGCTTCCTTGTTTGCCAGCTTTTTGAAGAGTCTGTACACATCCAAGCCATTTGGTGTCAGACTGCTGCTGAGCTCATGTACCTCTAGGAGATAGTCTAACCAGTCCAGTAAAGTTAAGATACTGGAACAGCCCGACATCAGGGTACGGTGGTAAGGCTACCTCTCACAGAAGAGAATCATAAACCAAATCAAGTTTGGCTTCATTAGATTCATGGGTAAACCAAAGGTGGACTGTACTTCCTTTTTTTTGAGAAAACTCAAAATGCGTGCTTTCATGGCTGATAGTGGTTAAATTTTATCTCTGTGAGCTAAGGAAACCTATGAATAACCTCATTATGCCAATACCACTTTTCATCTTCTCCCTTGATGTTAAATGTCAAGCCTTTGCTTTCATCTATTTTTACAGAGACTAAAAGAAGTATCATATCACTGTCATTTTCTCTGTGTTAAAATTTTCCATTTCTCTGAATGAAACTAGAATAAAGGGTAGTGGGGGGGAAGCGTTTCTTTTTCTGACTCGTTTTACATTAAAGAGTCTTAGGGTTGCGTTCAAACCCAGCTATGCTGTTTGTTAAACGTGCATAAGCAGTTATCTATGCTACTGCTGGAAACGCAGCCGAGACCTCACCAGTCTAAGCTCCCTAGGGCCCATCCCTGCACCTTGCGCATAGCACAGAGGAACATCACACAGATGCCCCTGGTACCTGCTGTTGACCTTTCTCCTGAAGTACTAAGAGACAGAATGTTATTCACCAGATATTTCAATATTAACTCAAACTCATTTAAAAAAACTATTTTCCACTAAGAAAGCAACTACCAAACAAACCTTTTAGCTGTTTCCACAGACTGTTGTTCTGCCAGTTCCTTCTGCAGCTCCCTTTCCTTGGCCTCTTTCTGCCCAATAGGGCAGTCTTCAGGCACAGTGAATAGTGACAAGGCATCTTTGCTGTCTTCTTCTCGTAGAACTTTAGCAAATACCTTCTCTGCTAAAAGTCGCACATGCTCATCAACCTCAGAGATGTTCAGCTTTGGAAACTGTCTGGGCATCTCAGCTAATAAGGAAGACAGTTGACAAAATTACAACTACAAGAAGAATAAAGATATGTGAGAGACTGGTGTTTCTCATCATATGCCTATGAAAATTAAGAGCTTAGAGCAAAAGCACAATAAAGTAGAACAGCTATGCAGAATTTAAATTATGCAGCACATAAGAACCACAGGTATCCACTGAGCATCTTTACTTGTGGAGCCATGCCAATTTGTGAACCAGGAACTTCTTGGTATACTCGTAAAAATTCCTATGATATGTATGCACAAATTTGCCAGTAAATTCCACTTGCATAATCAGATAGACTATTACTTGCGATATAACGTATGCTCAGCTGTATGTACTTGCACTGAACTTGAAAATAACATTCACTCAGTTGCCTGACTTCTTCCCTGCTCAGTGACTTCAAACCAATTTTAGAGCCACAAGCTAGAAAAGAAGGTTGCACATTTCTACCTCACCCCATCCTTTCCACAAATAAGAAAGTCATGGAGCTGCTGTAAAGTAAAATGGTTGCACAACTGGAGCAAACATGGTGTAGTTAATTCAGTGACTTTTTTTTTAAATTTGTTTTCAGTAGTTCATATCCTACTTTTGAATTGTACATAGGAAGCAGACAGGATATGGACTTTAATTTCTACTTGGCATTTAAATATTATTTTTCTAAACAATATGTATTATGTGTAAAATTTTCATTTAAGTAGCCTTTCATCACAAAATATTTCCATTTTGTTACAGCAGCACTACTGAAAATACCATCTTTAGTATTTCTTCTGTAGTTTCACGGCTTGCTTTAAATTTCCTTCTCATACAATCCAAAATGTCAATTTTGACATATCTGGTAGCATTCTGGAGGAGAAAAAAATACAGTGCTTGTAAGCTACTGACCAGCGTTATTTATTATGTACTATAAAGCTTTTTGAATGCCTTCAGTATGATGGAGTTTGTAACAAGTAAGATTAAATTCTTATTACATAAGTTAAAAATAGCCATGAACATGTCACAACAAATGGATCCAAGCACTGCCAAGAATGTGAAGTCTAGGTCCAAAAACTGGCATTTCAGAATCCTTTTTGGTTACAAAAATGCAAACATATTTTACAGGATGGTACTCATTCAAATAATGATGTATGCTGAAAGTCAGCATGGTAGTTTTTAATCACTCCAGGCATAACTTATCAGGGCCCCCATTACAGTATTTCTGTAGGCATGCTGCAAGTTTCACATGTTGATATGTGATCCTTATGATATGTGATCCTGTTGTTTTCAGCCTAAAAGATTATAATTAATGTCCACCTGTTTTCACAGTTGCTTTGAGAACACTTTTGCTTTTATTCTAAAAGCAAATATAGTATCAAAAGGTGACAAGAGATATATTGGACCATAACATGACAACTTAGTCATCATCTACATTATTCTTCATTCTTATTTTGTAAGAACCAACTCACAGCCCAGTGGAAAAACATCACTGCTTTTAAAGAACTGTGGATCTGACACTAAGCAGTTTTTCTGCCCGGATAGTATTTGTTTCACAGTTAGTATTAAGTCTTCATAAAATCAAGTATAACTACATAAGAAATATAAAAATACATACATTTTTAGCTGAATGATTCGATGACAATGCACTACGTTGTCCCAGAAGCATCCAAACTTAGATTTGGTTTCTCAATTTCAAACCTCAATGAAGTCATGGGAGTCTTTCCACTGACCTCAATGAACGCAGTTGTCAGCAACAGTAACTGCCATACATACAGCTGCCAGCAAGAAGGGCCTTTTGGGCCACTTCAGCCAGGCAAGACCAGCCTTTATAGTTACTCAACTACAGTAAGAGTGCTAGCAGTAATAGTGAAATGTGGAATAATAATGTTTCTTCTGCTGCTAAATCAGCAATTAAAATATTTTCAGTACTAGCTGACTAGAACAGGAAAAATCAATTGTTTGTATGTTTATCATTGGCTGAGCATTTTCCTAGTACAAATGAACTTTTTCTTAGAGAATCGTGGTCAGAAACAGAAATGCAGTAGGACTGCATGAGAAACTATACTGCATTTCATATCATTACAGTAAGATGGTGAAGAGTCAGAATATATAGGTACCAGCGTGATCCTCTACTGAGACCAAAGGGTGGGTTTTTTCTCTCTTACAGAACCTGATCTCATGTTCTCCACTCAAGCAAATGAGAGACTAAGGCACAAAACACTTTGAAAGGTAGGTTCACCCACATCACCACTAGCTTATGTCACCAAAATGAGTTCAATAAACCCAAAATTGTTGTGAGGCACTTCATGCGATACTCATGCAAACTGTGCCATCCCAAACTGGAAGACGGATGGGGATCTTGCATCCAGTATCCTTCTACAGAAGTGCTGTCCTTTACCCAAGGTGAGTGCCTGGGAGAGCGACAACTAGACATCTTAATGGGATGGGGAGACGGTACGAATGCCAACCAGCAAAAATGCTCTTTTCCTAAATCCCTCTCTCTCACAGAGCGACTGCTTTGGTTGCTCTTTAGTTCTGCACCTTTCTGGAAGGAAAGCAAGCTATTTCCCTTGAAACACGCTGCATAAAAGACAGGATGGAATGACTACTTAAAAAGCAAGTATTGGCCAGGAATTTAATGGGACTGACTGTGTAATGAGCACACGCCATGAAAACAGCAGCCCCCGCCGCCTCCGACCCCCCGCGGG